ATTCTTAAAATACAACTTACTCAGAAAATCTAAAACCATAGATGCATTTGTTCTTAAAAATCTACTACAAATTATTTGAAAGACTTCATTAGTTTCCTAAGATTTATATTTTCACCACACCATCCACTGCATTAAATTCCTTCTTTAAAAGAATGCACATTTAGCATAGCTATTAATAAAAACTCACAGCAAGAAGCATTTATTTTCTTAAAAGTGTCTAGGTCTTGTAGCTAGGGAACTTGTTAATCACTTGTTACAAAACTATTACAGCAGATTTCAGCCTGTCTCTTTTGCTTGTTTCTGTCTTTTGGGAGAACGCAGAAGATTCACTCCCCCTTCTTTCCCTGTAGATTTAATGAGCCAGGCACAGCCGTGTTTCATCTTACACAGCATCCTGTCAGATCCAAAGTCTGTTTCTCTATCATAAATTTTATTACTGTCTGCTTTTGTTACACAAACATTCCTACAGGCATTTTCATAATCTATTGGATATAAACAGAATAAATTCTCAAAAAAATCCTCAAAACTACTTCTTTATATTCAGTCCTCCGAATCTATATTATAATTCAGAATACATAGATGAGAAAACACCCAATACAAGAGGGTAGCAAGGCAGCTATGGATTAGACACCTGTATACCAAGAGCTAAAACAGAGTCAAATCAATCAGCTCTTACAATGACTAAGAAATGCCAGGCTAAAAGCACATGAGAAAAGTAGCTGGACAGGTAATCCTGATCATTCTAAATTAGATATTGTCACTCATCCCTGTAAAAGCTCCTCCATTTCACGTGTAACAATTAAATCATTTGGTGCAGGAACAGAAAGGATGGTCTAATGTCACCGAGAAGACCAGAAAAGGAGTTTTGCAACTAGTGTAGTCCAAAACCAGGAAACCAAGTCCAGTGGAGAAGAGTGACACACCCTAGAGAAAAAATAATTTTGCCCTGAAAAATAAATATTTCATTTCCAGTATATTATCCAGTACCTCACAATCTGCTCATGCTACCTGGTGCCTTTACAGTGATTAAAGTACAAGGTGTCACTGGAATTTCCTGAACTCACCCCATAGTAGCAGTAAGAAGAGAGATTTCATACTTGTCTGCAGAGCTGGAACACCTCAATCAGGGTAACTCGCTATACCCCAACTTAAAAAAGAAAATATTTCAGAACCAAAATCCCAGGCCTACAAAAAGGCTGGAACTACCTTGAGGAGCCTACAACCTTTCTTCCCTTCAAAACCTTTGTAATTGCCATCATCCACCCTCCCTCCTCTGAGGCTTCAGCTGCCAGTGTTCAAGCCATGCTCTGACATAGCACAGCTGTGTTACCTGGGGCAGGGTCTGTGACAACAGCTGGGAGAGGCCTTGTCTGAGCTTCCACCTACACACCTTTGGCTCCCCAGCTGCAGTTAAGCTCAGGGCTGGGCCTTAGTTTGCTTCTTGGCTGTGCTCTAGGTATACCCAGCTTGGTCAAGGTGACGTCCTGCACCTGGTCAACAAAGACTAGTCTCGTAAGGAAAAAACCCGTCCCAAAATAAGGTTCTCCCTTCCTTTTAAGTAAATTTGGGCATACAATAAGCACTTGGTTTTTCATTGATATAAAAATGTATTCCACAAAATTAATTAGAACTTTTTTTTCCTAATCAACTTTTTTTTTAGTATTTCTTTTCCAGGTACATTACATTTGACCTGACATATAAGAAACAAAACCCAGACATAACTGAAGTACACCTCCAGCAATTCACAGAGATCCTGGCACACCTTTCTATATAGTTAACAGGTCTAGAGTTCACTGGCTACTGCAGTTGACTCATTATTTTTCTGAATGGATGAATAAAAACTGTTTTTTCCTGACATAAATGAGTGCTGCTGAAAGGTTGTCTATTAACTTGTCTAGCAGTACTGCAAAGAGCCCTTCTGGGACACAAGGAGAGTGAAATCATGACACATTTTCAAGAAGATGGTAATCTGTGTAACCACAAAAAATATATTCTCCCTGTTAAAAAGAGAAGTATTTTAAATACATGCGTACATAAATATGTGCAAAGAATAGCTGAAATATTTGAGAAATACCTCTTTCCGGTCGTAATGTCTCTGTAAGGGGATAAACATATAAAGGCAGTGCCAAAAGGAGAATACGACGGTGAAATATTTCCTAAAAGGAGGAGGAACAACAAATACAACGCAGCCGTGGGCACGTAAGGACCTGGCAGGGCTGATCTCTCGACAGGCCACCAGGGCGAGCTCTAGCCCAGCAAATCCAGCCCCAGCCCTGCCGCTGACCCACTGTGGTTCTTCCCGTGCTATCAGGCAGGGGAGGACAAAAAAACCCCATGCATTTTAAAGCTTTATGTTCTCTCTTCGAAACCTTTTATATGTTCGTGCCTCTGTTCTTCGGCAGAAACGAGTGGAGAAATGGTATCAGCCACTGAAATATGTTGCTGCAGGTGCAGATTTCTACTGATACTGAAACTTAGAGGTTTTAGTATTTGAAGACTCAAGGAGAGTTTTATGATGATGAAAACATGGTTGTTTTAGCTCTACAAAGATTCTTCTAGATATAATTTTTCACCTTAACTAATTTTTGCCCTTAGTAGGTAGGCTCCTTAAAATCCATTCTCTTCTGTGAATTCCTCTGTTATAAAGATATAGAGCATTAAACTTCCAGGAAAACCTTGCAATCTTAAAAAATATTTGATGAGGGGGACATGCCACAGATTACAGACTTTTCAACAGTGCTAGCTGCAGTGCAACCATCAGTCTCCAGAGGAATAGGATAGAGACAACCAAAAGCCAAATTATACCTGAAGAACAAACGTTTTCCTCCAAACTTCAAACAACAGTATTTTAATCCTGCTCGTATGTAGTTACTGATAACATTTTCTAATATTTGGATAATCAGCTTGAAAAGCTAGCTGCTGGCAGAATTTTTTTGTTTCATATTCACACTCAGTCCCAGATATTGCAGAACATCTTATGTAAGTGGCTATGTCTTCAGTTTGTGTTGTACACACAGTATTTAGTCCCTGATGCAGACACTGCAGAGGGAGGGAATATAAACTCTCAATGTATTGTTTTAAAAGATACCACTGAAGTTTAAATTATAGAGAATGCAGATAAGTAGTCCTTCATATTTCCAATACATTATCATGTAAGAAAGACAGGGCTCAATTTGGTGGTACAAACTTCAGACTGCATTATTCTCATATAAAATCACTTACATGTCTTTTTCAAATACAGTATGGCCGTAAATGGCTGGTTAGCAGTGACACAAAATAAAGCATTTCAATTATTCATGAACAAAAACGTAACTTGCATTAGTTGCAGATTTCAATTTAACTGTGTACTAAGAGAGGGGATATTCTGACATTGCAAACTCATTCTTTAGTTGTATGGCTTCCTTATGCTTGCATCTATGTACAATATCTTTGCCCTATGTAATTTACATCCCAGGTTCAGCTCACCACCACAAAAACCAGAATATCCCCTTCTCTTAAGCCACAAACTCCTGCTCTTTACCATGCTCTTGTCTGGTTCAACCTGCACCTGATATAAGCTGATTTAACTACCAAGTATTTTGATGGGCTGGAGAGTTAAATCAGCTCAGGAAAGAGTCTGGCAGAGCCAAAGCAGGGCAGTGAAAGGAGGACTGGCTCTCTGTTCCAGCTGGAGCCCAGGAAGATTAGCTGGCTAATTTAGCAGGTTAAGTCCAATACCCACAGTCAGGTCTTACAAACTGCTCTCAGTTTATCTTCACAGCTATTTCTGTCCAGGTTATTCTCCTTGCTAGTTCCAACATCGAGTTGGAATCACGTGGCCTGCTTCACAGAGGTGACCTACACACGGACAGGGGGATGACCTGGGAAAGCTGCATTCAACAGACTGGAGAGAGGCTCGCTCTGCTGCTCACATGGAAAGAGACACTGCCTGTATTCCATTTCTCTTATCACCACATGACCCTGAATTTTTACTTTACAGAAAAGCAAGTTCTAAAATAGACTATTACAATCATTATGCACACAACTATCAAAACATATCTAATTGCTTTATAGACTTCTGTAATGCAGCTAAGTTGCTGAAGAACTATCACCACTTGACAGGCACATCTTCCCTTTGGTATTAATTCCTGAAAGGTAATACTCAGACTATTTTTGAATGGCAGCAGTAGTCAGTGCAACTAAGAGCTTAAAAGCTCCCTTAAGTTTTTTCAGCAGAAATTAAGCTGAATTTTTTTCCAATTTACAGCTTCCTTGCAAAAAGAATAAACTTTCTGAGAGCATAAGTACTCAGCTGCCTCATTCTTGCCTATCAGTTTTGTCCTGGGTAATCCAAACTGGCATTCATGAAAGCAAACAGTATAATCTACATCAAGCAATCAATGCTGGTAAGCTCATTACAGTTCTTACTAGTCTAGCCTTTAAATTCAACAGACAAACACAGATTTATCAGGTTATGCATTTCCTTCAAAAGCAACATTCTACACTGTATAATCATAGGAGCAAAGTAACCAATAAAATTTGAATTCCACCGAACTTAATCTAAAATCTCTGTTGGTTTAGCACAGTCAACAACAGAACTGGTTTGCATTCTTAATATTCCAGTTACCAACGTTCAAAATTATTGTTACAAAGCATTACATTTTCCTGCTGTCAGCAAAATGACTGCTAAAACAGAAATGCCAGAAAAATCTTCTAATGCAAGAATTCTACAAGACAGAGATAACTACTCTGTTTATCTCTGTGTCCTTCAAATGCCTATTCACAGTCATAAAGCAGCGTATTCCCATTCCTCTGAGAATCATAGAGGACAATTAGGAAACCAAATCCTGAACCGCTTGTAGGTGAGTCTTAGAAAAAGAGAAAATTTCTGTGCTTAGACTCCTGAATATGAAATTGTATTTTCAAGTAAGACTACTCTTCAGAAAATAGTTCTTCAACTTCACATAAGTGTTCCCAAAAACCTGACAGATCTTTTTTTTACCAACAACCCTGACACTGACCTCTCATATTTATTTTTCATAGTCAGTCGCACATGCATGTTGGAAGAGTAATCATCGTTTTTATTTCTCATATAATTTGTGATCCGTAAGGAACACCTATTAAAACTGCAAATCGTACAGAAAAGCTTCATAAATCCTTTAAAGAGGTTGCAATTGAATTTTGCCTTCTTGTGCTGGTATTGGCTGGGGTGCAGCTAATTTTCTTCACAGTAGCTGGCACAGGGCTCTGTTTTGAATTTGCAATGGAAACAGTGTTGATAACTCAGGGATGTTTTGGTTATTGCTGAGCAGTGCTTGCACAGAGTCGAGGTCTTTTCTGTCCCCCACACCACCCCACCATCAAGGAGGTTGGAGGTGCACAAGCAGTTGGGAGGGAACACAGCCAGGACAGCTGAGCCCAAGTGACCAGAGGAACATTCCCTGCCATAGGGCACCAGGCTCAGCACACAGAGCTGGGGGAAGGAGGAGGAAGGAGAGGATGTTGGGAGTGATGGCGTTTGTCTTCCCAAGTCACTGCTGTCTGTGCTGGGGCCCCTGACGTCCTTGGGATAGCTGAACACCCACCTGCCCATGGGAAATTGTGAATTAATTCCCTGTTTTGCTTTGCTTGCATGCACGGCTTTTGTTTACCTATTAAACTGTCTTTATCTCAGCCCTCGAGTTTTCCCACCTTTTACTCTTTTGATTCTCTCCCCCAGCCCAAGGGGAGGAGTGAGGAAGTGGCTGCACAGGGCTTTGTTGCCAGGTGGGGTTAAAAGTATGATACTTCATTAAGAAGAACCCAAAGATAACCATTCTTTACTACAATACAAAGGCTCCTTTTCAGTTCTGCAAACATTTATTATCAGGAGGACAGAAAGGTACAACTGAGTTTTAAAGAAAGAAAAAAATATCTGGGCCATTGTATAACTAAAGATTATAAACTTTAGTTTGCAAAGTCTTTCAGCTACCGATAGACTAAGCTCTGTGTTTGTGAAATTGTAAACACAATGAGGGTTTTTCTTTTTTGCACTGAACATCACCGATCAATCTCTTTCAATTATATTCCTCTCCAAGTACAAAGTTCATTAAGTCATTGCTTTCAAGTTGTTTTTTTTGTATTTGGTGGGTTTTTTTCCCCAGTCTAGTGTTAAATATGTAAGACGAAACAGGTGACAGGCATATGAAAGCCTGGGCAGACTTTTTCAGGATGGTGAGGGGGGTTATAAGTTATTTCAAGTAGGTCATTAACATAGGCTGTTAAGAGCGGTGCACTGCAGAAGTTTCACAGGCTGCATTTCATATCCCAAGCTGCAGCCCCTGCTAGGGACAGTGGAAATGCATGGGAAAGGTCTCATGTCTGGAGCAGCAGGGCTCCCTTTCAGTGTGCCCCAGATCGCAGCTGCCCTCACACTGACCCTGCCCGGCAGGGCGGCACTGGGGCGGCCGGTCTCGTATTCCCTCACACCTGAGGCAGCTGCTGAAGCCGCCACTCCACGGGGGAAAGGAGAGCCGCGGGTGGATAAACCAGGGCCCTCAGGGTAGGATAAGGAGCGCTAAAGAGCTCCCGGGAGAATGGTCCCCGTGATGAGTGCTGGAAACCAGAAGAAGAGGGAGACCTGCCAACCTGCTAGATTTTTCCTTCACCAGGACCGAGAGTCCCCATAGAGGCTCGGCAGAAGGCAGCCGGTTTCTCTCACGGCGGTGTGGGGCACTAGACGCGCAGAGAGGAGCGGAGAGCCAAGGCCAGGGGCACAAGGACAACAGCGGGGCCGTGAGGCCCCGAGCATCTGCGGGGAGGACCCAATCATGGCGGGGGCGCCAGGGGTCACCGAACTACAGCTCCTGGCATGCGGCCCCCACTCGGCGGGGCGGACAGCGGGACTCGCCAGCCCCGCCCTGCTCCTGCCGGCGGCTACGGCGGCCCAGGCCTGGCGCTGCTCCCGGCGCTCGGCCCAGCTGATAATGGCCCTAATCATGACTTTTTCCTCCTCTCGGGACCCGGGGTTGCGGCCGCGACCGGAAGTGCCCGTTGCCATAGCGCCCTGTCTCCCCGTTGAGCATCCCGCGTGCCCCCGGAAGCGGTCGGAGCCGGTGTTCCGTGCGGAGACGGTCCCTGTCGCTCCCGCGGCCGCGCCCCACGTGGTCCCGCCGTTAAACACCGCGGATCATTCATTGCGGCGCCGCGCGGGGCCGCGCTGGCCACGCCCCCCCTCGCGCGCCATTGGCCGAGAGCTGCTCCGCCCGCCAATCGGCGCCGGCCACGCTCCGACCGCAGGAAACCGCACATGGAAAGTCACGATTGGCGGCGACGGCTGCAGACCCCGCCTTCCCAGGCTTCCCATTGGTTCCGTGTTTGGCGTGGTGCGCTGCTATTGGGCAGAATGGCGCGGCCCCCCCCACCCTGGGGTTGATAAGCCGGAGGGGGAGGGCCGGGGCCGCTCCAGCGGGATCGGCAGCGGCGGCGCGGGACAGGCTTAGGAGCGCGGGCGGCGGCGCCGGGGGCTCTTCTCTTGTCATTGCAGCCGCCATGAAATCGGTCTGGGCGCTCGCTCTGGCGTGTGTGCTGCTCCTGGCCGGTGAGCGCCCACGGGTTTCTAGAAGGTTCTGGCGGAGGGGTGTCAGGGTCCCAGCTAAGCAAGCCCCCCCCCACCCGCCTTCCCCGCCGTGTGCTGGGGTGAGGGGGATGGAGGCCACCGAGGGGAGGTGGGGCCTCGGGCGGGACCCCTCAGTCTGCCCCGCGGGGAGGGGAAGCGGTGCTCGGGCCCTCTCGTGCCCTGCCTGGGCCTGGTCCGCGGCGGGGGGAGGGGGCCGCGCGGCTCATGCGCCGTCACGGGTGGGGGCGGAGGATGGGAGGGGGCCTCCCCTTGCCCGTCTCCCGTGTCTCCGGTTGGACTGAGCTCCCTTGGGGAGCGGGGGGGAACTCGAGGGGTAGAGCGGAGCCTGCAGACGTGGGGAGGGGTAAGCGGAGAAGTTGGGTAGTGCGCAGTGTGGGGATCGGGCTCAGTGCTGGTTTCCTTGATTTCCCAGTGTCAGTCAGAGCCGATGAGGTGGACGTAGATGGCACCGTGGAAGATGACTTGGGCAAAAGCAGAGAAGGGTCTCGAACGGATGATGAAGTAGTTCAGAGGTTGGTACCTGGTGTGCCCTGCTTTTGGAAGGATCATTGGAGTACCAGTAATACCTCAGAAGTAAAGGGGGAACGCTATTCAAAAGAGAATCTACTCAGCTGTGAGAAATAAAACATTCCTGTAAGACTGTTTCCTTCCAAATAAAAACGAGCTTGCGAACTTGGATTTAGAAAAGTTCATCTTGTTTTTATCGAATGTCAATAACTGTTACTTGGGGTTTACTCAGGCATATCATAATTGGTGTCAGTTTAGTTCCTATGGATGAAATAGCTCTATGCCCATGAAATGCTTCATTTCCTGTGAGGTACACCACATGCTGAGGATTGCAGCAGCTTTAAGATTACCTGTATTATTCGCTGATTTTTTTAAATGAAAAAAGTCTCAACTTGTAAGCATGAATTTTCACTCAAGTTTTTGCATTATGGTTATGTAGTTGAGGATGGTCACTCTTGCACTTGACTCATTTGATCATGTAATTTTGTGCTGCATCAGTGATCGTTATTGTTGCTGCTTTGTGATAAATTAGTTATACTGTGTGTGGACAAGACACCTTGATAAGTTTTTCATTGTCCTAACAGAGAGGAAGAAGCTATCCAGCTAGATGGCCTAAATGCATCTCAGATCAAAGAAATCAGAGAAAAATCTGAGAAGTTCGCATTTCAAGCAGAAGTGAACAGAATGATGAAGCTAATTATCAATTCTTTATATAAAAATAAAGAGGTTAGTGCCTTCATCTGCAAATGATGTAGAATTTTGGAAGTGGTGTGTCTGTCTTTCTCCTGACATTCCTGACTATTGGTTTCTATTTCAGATTTTCCTGCGGGAACTTATTTCAAATGCTTCAGATGCTTTAGATAAGATACGGTTGATATCATTAACTGATGAAAATGCTCTTGCTGGCAACGAGGAGCTTACAGTCAAAATCAAGGTAAGAAGGATAAGAGAAAAACATATCTTTCAATTAATGGAGGAATGTAAAAATATACTGCATCATTAAATTTCTATTTTTGGCTTAATATTGATGCAAATACCAACCAGAACTACACATAGACCCTTGCAATTAACTTTATCAAAGACTAGTCCTCTTTTAATGGTAAAAATATGTTTCTGGTATTATAAAGAGCAACTGGACTACTTTGAAGGAAGGTCTTCCTCATTTCTGTAGTTACTGCAATTTCATTTTACTGCAGCCAGGCATGTTTGAATTTGAATAGCTGCTATGTACCACGTTTCTTTGGCATGTATTAAGATTCACAGTGAAGTCAAACTGCATTTTTGTCTTTATTTTCAGTGTGATAAAGAGAAGAACATGCTTCATGTTACAGACACGGGTATTGGCATGACGAAGGAGGAGTTAGTTAAAAACCTGGGTACCATTGCAAAGTCTGGTACAAGTGAATTCTTAAACAAGATGACTGAAATGCAGGATGATAGCCAGTCAACATCTGAGTTAATTGGCCAGTTTGGTGTTGGCTTTTATTCTGCGTTCTTAGTAGCAGACAGAGTTATTGTCACATCAAAACACAACAATGATACTCAGCATATTTGGGAGTCAGATTCAAATGAATTCTCTGTGATCGATGACCCAAGAGGGAACACTTTGGGACGTGGCACAACCATAACGTAAGTACTTTCTTTAGTCTTAAAATAAAAAAGGTTGTTTAGATACACGTTGCTTGTTGGAATATGTGAGTGACTTTAGCTTTGTGACTGATTTATTTCTTGTAATACAGCTTTACTCAGTTAAATAGAAATATGCAAAATACAAACTGTATCCAAAAAGAAATGTAGTTCATTTCACGCTTTGTTAGATAAGCTAACAAAACTATGAATATCTTGACAACTGTCAGCAAGTAATTCCAGACAGTTCAGCTGCCTTCAGGCTCATTCAGTCACTCAACACAGTTCGGGCCTGGCAAAACCTGTACAGAGCTATAGAGCTTTGCTTAGAAACTGGCTGCTGTTTATAGATCAGTGAGGCTGGTTTGATGCAAATTTCAAACTAGAGGTAGTCTACTAGTCCTATTTTCATTGCTTTCATGACCAGGTAAATTTACTTAGTCTGGGTTTAGAGGATGTCTTTCTGGAGGAAGCACTCAGTGTAAAAATGTTGGTCTTGGTGCTCTAGTTTGAAGTAAAGGCCATGAATGTGCGTCAAGATCCTGATCAGTATTGATATGATTTGATGTTTTCATTTAAATTTTTGAATATTGTGTTCTGCCTCAGCCAGTGAAAACAATTGCTGGTTAAGTAAGGATTGTATTTATTAAGAGATAGTTGGAGCTGAACTAATAAAAAAGCTCACTTGCATAAATCTGAATTGCTACAACTGTGGCAAAAATCACGGGTTGTTCTGAGTTAGGATTCACAAGCTTCATAAAGTTCAACTCATAAGTGAATGATCCCATAGGTGGATCAACTCCCACTCTTAGTTCTTAGCACCATGCTCTGGCTCAGTTGGTCAATCTCAGTGGCATTAGAAATGTATATTCTGCTATAAAACTGTCAGAATACTTGTCCAGCACTTTAAAAGGTTTGGGTTTTGTTTTTTTTTTCCTTTAGCCTTGTCTTGAAGGAGGAAGCATCTGATTACCTTGAGCTGGACACTGTTAAAAATCTAGTGAAGAAATACTCCCAGTTCATAAACTTCCCCATATATGTGTGGAGCAGCAAGGTAAGTGTATTTCACAGAGTGTTGTCCAGTATAAGCTTTGGTTATGACAGCTGTCTGGCCAGATCTTTCATGAAGGCTGAGGGCTGCCATAGAGCTGCTTCTTGTCTAATTTCTAAAATTCTTCTGTTTCTGACTCTTTTGGCTATTATTTTACTAGTGTGTTTTGGTTTTTTTTCCAAATGCTGGTCTGTTGCTAAAATCACAAACTTTAAAGGAACTTCGTTTTAATCTGACTCAAAGAACTTTACCAAAGGAAAAACACTGCTAAGTAATAATAAGGATCTTTCTTCCACTGGCTTTGGTAGATGGAAGCTCTGTTAATTTCTCAAGCAAAGCCATGGTTAGATACCCTTCTGAAAAAAATAGGGCAGTGTCTTAGATTTTATGCCTGTTGTGATGTTTTCTTGGTGTAGCACCAACTTAAAATCCACCAACTCTCTGAGCATTATGTGTAAAGCATTGAAAAACTTAAATTTGGGTGTGGTGATTTCAGAGCGTATCAAAGAAAAGTATGTATTAATGAAAAGCAACTGAAAAATACTATCCAGCATTTAATATCCAGCTATTGCAACAGACAAACAGCAGAAGTTAGGCTAGTGCTGTGAAAGATTAAGCTGTTCAAGAGAATACTCGAACATAGCTGTTAGGAAATCAAAGTGTCAAATCCCCACCTTTGGTTGCCTCTTTAGACAGAGACTGTTGAAGAACCCATTGAAGAGGAGGAAGCCAAGGAGAAAGAAGAAGAAACTGATGATGAAGCAGCAGTTGAAGAAGAGGAGGAAGAAAAGAAACCAAAAACTAAGAAGGTAAGCTTTGTTAGCTTTGATATCCTGTAACTCATATCAGATAGATAGCAATTTTCCTAGCTAATCTTGCAGAGGTGCATTTCAATAGTGTATGCTTTCAGGAAGCAAATCCTTTTAAAGTGAAGATGGTAGGAAAGAAGATTGTAAATGAAACAGATTAGGTGGAAGTCAGGCAGATGATTGGCAGTAGCCTTGTGAAG